CTTTGTTATGCTGCAACTTTCAGGGATGGTTGCCGTGTAGTTTGGGAGTCCTCAACTTCTTCTTCCGAATGAGATCAAAATCTTTTCCGAAAGACCGGTTTGATTCGGTTACACAAGTGGAATTCGGCAAAGAATATGCCGAAAACTAGGAACTAGAGCACGAGTGTACTCCACACAGGTTAGATCAAGGAGTTGGGAAGCACTGAGTAGAGCTCGTCGAACTGGTTCGAACGAGCGCACGCACTATATTGTGTGGGGAGAATTGGAGTGGCCACAAAGGGCAAAGCGACAGACGAGTTAAAGTGCGGCCCCACGGTAGGGTGTCACGGCAGCAGTAGTTCAGCTAATTTGCTGAGTAGAACTTGGGCATTTGTGCACATGCATAAGAGCTTCTCGGACGCCAAAAGTGTGTTGGATGTGATGAATGAAACAAGTGAGTTAACGCCGACTGATATAAGGTCGGCTGTTAATCGTGTTTCCTATGGGTTGCAGGTTCTCGAGACGAATTTGGCATTTTTCAACTAACAGATCTCCCGGATCCCGGTGGTCGTTCGGGTTCTGCTGTGTCTCTGCTGGGGTCATGGCTACTGTTAAAACGGTCAACGCGTCAGGTTCTACGGCTGCTTTTTTCAGTAATAATTACGCCCCTACTGGTTTGTCACTAGAAAGTGATTGTGTTCCTGCTACTTTCAGAAGAATTCCTGTTGCCAATCTGCTACGAAAATTAGTTCAGTTCTCTAAAACGTTTGTCTCGTTAGTTCTGTTTGGAATACCAGTTTCTGCAGCCTGGGACCTTGTAGTGCGGTGATACGGGGATGCTTGTCAACGAAGTGGCCACGACATTCTCGAGAGAAAATGCCTCAAGGATGTAGTGTCTTTGCTCCCGGTCGTGCATCGGCGCATCGTCGGAATAGGAATCAGTTAGCTTTGGAACACCGTGAGCAATCACAGTTTTCTTATCTTGACTTTTGCTGTTCCTCGCTCTGTTAGTAGGATCCGCTGAACGTTCTTTCCACGGGATTTCAGGTAGTATGCGCACTCCCCTTGAGGCGTTGTGGGTTCGATTCACAGACAGCAGTACGGCCTCTGTCTCATCCGCTGAGTTTAGTGTTACCCGAAGTAACCGAGGTTCACTGTAGTGTAATGCGTTTGAGTGACACGAGATGCGTTTTAATATCATGAGATCAGCATGGACACCGATCGCCGTACAGATGGAACTCCATTGCTTTCGATCGTCTGTCAGCCTACCCTTAATTGTATTGAATTGGTATTCGGGGACCTTAGTACACATAAGGTTTAAGGCACTATTGTTGCGCTTGATGGGCTTGGTTGGTGGTGCTATCCGAGACAAGCAATGCTTCACAGACAACGATGGTCAAAGGCTTGAAGGCGCCTCAGCTCTTCAGAGCAGGATGGCCCTCACTGTGGCTTTAAATCACGACTTTTCAGACGGAGGGAGAGTCCCATCTTTCGCTAAAGATACCAAAGGTTCAAGAACGCAGTATTGGCTTTTGCAGTGTGCGAATTGACTCCAGTTTTTATGTGCCTATCGTTGCTGATGCAGCTGGCAATTTAAACAATTCGATCAACCAGCTCGAGTTCCTCGTTATCAAGGTCAATGGGTCATAAAGTGGCTGGTGGTCCTGCAGCAATACTTTGCACTTGGAAAGTGCGAAGCGCATACCAAATAATGGGGACACAGTAGAGAGGTAATTCAGGGTTGATTATGCCGCCGAAACATTGTCGAAAAGCAAAGCGTTTTCGTCCGCATAATCATGATCAACTAGCCTTTCACCACGGAGCACTTCAACGCCTACATCGTGAGATTCCGCAAGGGAACACTACATGATGCAGTCTATGCTGCAACTGAAAAAAACGTGGAAATCAGACCACCCTGACGAACGTCACTTGTTGTCGGAAAGCCATACGACAGGTCACCTTAGCCGCTGACGCAGCCTGAAGTGTTCGAGTATTGAGCACGTAGGAGGCTCACATATTTCGTGGAAACATGTTTCCGCGCAAGTATTTCGAACAGAATGCATCGATGGGCCGAATCAAAGGAACACAGCTATTGCCGGTCTGTGGTATGCGTGGCGCTGGTCTAGCATCTGCCGCAAAGTGAATATATGGTCTATACAGCCACGCCCTGGGTGGAAACCTACCTGCTGTTCCCTAATCCGAGATTCCCGTTCCACAGTGAGGCGACGAACGAGAATCGAGGTCAATACTTTTGTCACAACTGGCGTTAGGCTAATACCACTGTGGTTAGAACAGTCTGTGCGCCTGCCCTTCTTATATATTGCCATTATAATCGATTCGCTACAATTAGCCGGGACACTCTCTTCCTTCCAGATACGTTCGAATAGGGAGGTCAGTGCTTTGCAGAGGATCTCACCTCCATCCTTATATAGTGCAGGTGCGAGGGAATCCGGGCCAGCAGCATGAAAGCGATTGAGGGCCGTGATCGCGTTTCGGACCTCGGCCTCCGACGGAGGCTCTAAACGAACCGTCCATGGCACGTCCTGCATCACCCGAGTACGAAGAGGTCCAGGAGCAGGGGGCCATCTGAACTGATCTTGAAAGTGTTCCGCCCAACAAGTCATACGGCGCTCCTTATTGTGTATCAGCGCACCAGCGTTGTCTCTGATTGTTTCACTGACGTCTGGTTTCCTGGGACCAGTGATGCAGATCACCTGGAAGAGCTTACGGTAATTGCCTACTGCTCCTGACTCCTCCATTTCTTGAGCTCGACTGGTCCACCAGGTTTCCTTGTCAGCACGTAGGCTTTGCTTTAGTGCACGCCTAATAGCCCGTCTGGTCACACTGTGCTCAGAGCCAGACGGGAGGTTTCTTCTAGATTCCAACAGGTACACCGACCACATGGATATCCAGTGACTGGTGCGGTGACGATGAATAGTGCCACAAGCAGAGACTTCTGCGTCGTGCATGGCGGTCGAAATCCTATTCCACTGAAGCTCAGTGTCATTAGGACAAGACAGTGGAAGTTCAGTATGCAGTGCGTCTTGATAGGCTTGCCTGACTGACGGCTGAGACAATTTCTCAGTTGCCAATTGGAGGGGACGCTTGGTGCGCTTCCCGGTAAAGTTCATGGAGAAACGACAGCATACCAAGGCATGATTAGAATCGACGCAGGTATTCCAGTACGAGCGACCATGCAGGATGGAACCACGCGACCAGTAACTTAGGGCTACGTGGTCAATTTGGGTCCATCGATGGCCAGCTACAAGGGGACGCCAAGTGGCACTTCCGCGCCTACTGGATCTAAAGCAGTGCCACTAAGAAACAACTGGTGCTCCGCACACAGTTGCAGCAGACGCTCACCGTTGTCAGTTCGTTCGGAGTTAAGCCCATAATTGCCACCCCGCTGAGCTTCTGAAGAGCTAAGACGCCCTACTTTTGCGTTAATATCGCTTGCAAGCACTATACTATCTGTACTAGCAGTATTGCGTAGTAGCGCGTTCAGTTCATGGTAGAATGTGTACTTGACAGCAATTGAACTGCAGTCGGTGGGGGCATAAGCGGAAATAACCAACAAACAGCGTTTTGTACTACTTCGTGAATCAACCTTGGCTGGTGTCGTCAAACGGGCCGCACATAAACGGCTGTTCACCGGAATCTAATCAACCAACGATGGCTCAGCCTTGGAGCTTAGAATGATACCTATACCAGCTTGACCTGTGAGTGGTGCATCGGCGTCTCCGGATGCGTGCAACCAATAACGAGGGGATAAGCCGGGTGCAGTTAATTCAACAACCCCGTTGGGGTCATTTATCCTAGTTTCGGACGCACAACACACAGCAATATCCAGTATGTCCAAGGTGTGTGCGAGTGCAGCCTGTTGACCTATGTCTTAGAGTGCGAACGTTGAAGGTCGCCATGGAAACGGGACAACGTGGCCTTATAAGGGATTGTTACCGATAGGCGTCCGGTGTGTGTCACGAGAAGGTGACTGCAGATGGTTTTACTCGTGGCACTTCGGTTGCTGTCAATTAGGCTGGGAACTATAGAAGGAAGATTAATAATGGGGGTCGGGATGGGAGTAAGAGAAACAGGTGGAAAGGAAAGGAAGCACCAGCAGTAGCATGTTTTCGCTTATCCGCCCTGCTGTATGTGTTAGGAAGGAATACGCGATGCGGACAAGCCAGGATTCCATCGCTGCGGCCGGGGATCCAAACTCACCCGCCCTGACTGGGGCGAACAGAGAGCCAATCGGGAGAAGCGGCCAATGAACGCGGGGCGGCGTTTTTTGATTTGTTGTAAGTTGGTCTTTCCAGAGCTTTCTGCGTGCGCCTTAAATACCATTCACGAACTTTCCGTTTCACCTTTATAATGAACGGTGTGATTCTCTAATACATCCCTGTTGCTCTGCTCGTCCGATCCGGTCTTGTCTCTGTCCGGTGGAAGGCCAGCGACTTCGCGTTTTGATTGGGAATCAGGCGTCCATTCAGGCGAGGGATGAAGACTCCAGTATGCAGAAGATAAGGCGACCCTTGATAATCTGCGCGACGGCCGATGCAGGATGAAGTTTATGTTGGAAGAAAAAATCATGGTTATATGTGGGCTGGGATACTGCCAGGGCGCCCAGACCTAGACGCCGGAAATAGCAAACAATCAACAGAATTTGAAGGAAAATAAACGAGCAAAATGGACAGGAAATATGCAAAAGAATAAGGTAATTGAGCGAATCATATAAAGTGGAATACTCTTTATCCAGCTTGGTAGTGATATTAGTAGAAAAATGCTTATAAGCATATAAACACGTGAGCATTGAGGCTATTTCGAATAACGCGGTCATTATTTTCGCCCAGTCAATAATGTTGCATAGGAACCAGTTAGACCGAAAAGGAAGACTCGTAATCGTGATACGCAATTTACATAGGAAAAACCTGTAAGACGTAAGCAAGACGGTCAGAGTGACGAATAATCACTGGCTACCTCTACGGATGCGAGCCAACAAGGAGTGAGATAAAGACTCTGTCTCAGTAAAACTTCACTACCTTGTCCACCAGACATGGGATGTTCATCGAGTTGGTGGCGAACCCCATGCTGAACACAATGGCGGCCTCCTGATCGACAAATTCCGCAACTAAGTTTTCCAGCTCCTGGTGGAGAATGAGGCTACCGACCTCCTGTCTTGGGCTGGCTACTCCCACTCCGAATCGACGTGTGGCTCGTCCGTTAGCGTCAACAGATGGTCCATGGGGATCGCCAAAGCCCAGATAATTATAGGAGCCCAAGTTAAGAACACGCTTCTTTTCACCTGTGAATCTGCCAAAAACCGAAAGAAAATAGTTAGCAGAGAGCTAATGTCAAAAGGGGAAAGCTTCGGACGAATATGCACAAAGCAACCAAATAGTTAGAAACAATAAGCAAATGGATTAAGGAACTGGGACAGGTGTGGAATCGTAGCACAACATTAGATTTGGGGGGAGGGGCAAGAAAAACTGGCAACATCCAACTATTCAACGCTGGCGATAATACAAGCAAATTTATCTCGGATTGTTCAAAGCAAACTGAACTCGCAGGGTAGTCCATGACGGTTGTGAAATGTGAGCCAATGAAACAGAAATTATTGGTATGGGAGCCTCCATCTAGTTGAAGTGTTGTGTCAGATGGTAAAAAAGAAGCCTTTTAATATATCATTACAAAAGTTCCTGAACTGAAGATACCTGCATTCGGTCTTAACCGAATGTCATGTGAAGAGGAGCATCGTGCGATGTGTTCCGGTATAGCCAGATGAAAATGAAAACGTTACAAATCACATGAGGTAAACGATGAACACTTTGAATGCCAGTGAAAGCACTTGAGTTCTATGTATAAACTACCTCGATGATTGCTACTGGCTAGGAGAACAAAGCGCAGCACACCTCCCGGTCGAGCGATGAAGACCAGCCGAGTCAAAATGCAAAAGCCAGTGCTCGATTCAAACAAACGAACTCAACGCGCAGTCTGATATTCCGCACTGTAAAACGAGACAGTAATTTTAGTCAGAATTTTACGTAATGTAAGCAGGTAAAACAGTTGTATGAGAACTGGTATACCACAAATAACACAACCGATTCGATTACTGGTTGGAAGCAGCAAGTAGGGGTTTCTCTGTGTAGCTGCATCTAATGTCACTCAGTGGTGTGCTCGATATATTTGATGTCGGCAAAGTGTTTGTCCAGGAATTTAGTAAATTCCGACACCGACTTTGCCTCAACTACGTGCTGCGGTACGTCGTTCCATACATTCACCACTCTGCGCTCGAAACAGAGTTGGTGAGCGACCTGCTTCAAATCCGGTACAACAAGCTTGTACCGGTGTCTTCGTGTGTTGCTTGGTGTGTGCAGATGAAGCAGCGGTCTATACATGGGGTAATCTCCCAGATGTAATATCCGGTGCGTCATGATGAGGTCAACCCTCAGTCGACGATAATCTAGGGTGTAAGGCCCTAGTTTCTTACACCGAAGGAATATTCGAAACGGATATAATCCATACTCTAAAAATCGTGACTGCTATAATCTCGCCAAGGCCTAAAATTAATAACGATAATTCACATCAGTTCTACCTTCTGTGTAGCTGTCTTTGTCAGCAACCATGAACGGAAATATCAGTTGATATGACCAGCAGATGAGACTATGCGCAACATGGCAGCGACAAACGTGTGTTGGTTCGTTAGCAATGCATATTGGTACAACTCAACTAATGCCTGAGTAGCATGAGTTATGTTGACGAAAACGCAGCGGAACAACAGGCCGTGCATGCAACCAACTTAGTTCGTGTGAGCTGGAGATCACGAGCTGATATAACAGCATGTCGCACAAAACGACACGAAGGTCGAGTACTCCTAAGTAGCCAGTGGCGCTACCCCAAGGTACTCGAATGCTCCGCGTAAATGTCAATGCCAGCGGCATGTGTGAGAGTGTGTTTGCAAGGCCGGATAGCCCTAGTCAGTGTTCCGTGTGAGCACATTCAGGTTGGAAGTGTCAGAGAATGGAAGACAGAAAGGGCCACTAGAATACATGAAATATTGCCTTCTGTAGTGCTTGACAATACACTAGGTCCTTCACACATCTTCGGAGAAGGAGGTTTACTAGAGATGGCTAAGTTAAGAACCTGTTGTGTTATCATGCCTCCACTATTATGAGTTGCAATGCTGCGGCTGTAGTGACGCAGCGCTAGCAAATCTATTCATCCAGTGTGGTTTGTATTTAATTTCACGTAAGACAACGGTTCCGATCACAGGCCGGGAGATCATACAGAAGGATAATGATGGATCGGTTCATAATATAGAGGAGAAGAGGTGGTAACGCCATGCTCCGATTCGACTGGTGGTGTAACTCGAGCATCATGAACTTGCCAAGTTACGATATATCGTAAGTGATGAAATGAATGTTGTCGGGAGGCAGTATAGATGAATTCGATATTAGCCCAAGTTAGTTAACTGTAAGTCATATCAACTGCAAGCGCCTTGTGGCGACAATTGCATAACGTGAATAACGTCACCACCTGATTAACAACGAAAATGGTCCCAATATAGGAACGGATAATAAAAATGCATCGCACTCAACAAGTCCGCAAATTCATACGTTAAGCACAATCAAGGGCAGCTATATTAGTGCTTGTGGGATCGAAGATGTGGTTACGAACCGTATAGCAAAATCCCGAGGTGCTTTTGCCAATCCCCGCTATCTATGACGCCGACGAGACATCACCCGAGCCGTGAAAAGCAGAGTTTATAATGCAGCCGTCTGTTCAACCCACTTATACGGTTGGGAAACCTGGCCCATCAGGTCAACACACATAAAGAATCTAGTCACGTCCAATCATCGCTGCCTTCTAAGCTTAGCTCATGTTGTTTGCACGCTAAGGTTGCAATTGGAGGAGGATGAGGGAAGGCCAAGCGATGACTTGATCGAGATAATTAAAACCTTCATTTCGAAGCTGGCGTCGGTTGGTGCATCTCGACTGCCTGGCTGGGGTCCCAAGGACGATGAACACGTTTGCTTGAACACACTTGCTGATATGGCGAAGAGCTGACTCCAATGGCGTGTGTTGTGAGATTCTTTGTCCACCCCTCCGCTTTAGATTCCCCTCAAATTATGATCTCATGGGAAATGCATGATATGGATGGAGGTATCCGGTTTCGGGTTAGCCTGTCACTGTGGCCAGCTACAGAACGACTGCGCCTACACAGGGACCACGGGTGGCTTGCGCTGCACCACCCACAGCATGATATATATGGTTGGCGTCATCCGGTTTCGGATTTGCCCGTCACTGTGGCCAGCCACAGGACGCCTGCGCCTACAGAGGGACCATGGATGGCTTGCGCTGCACCACCCACAGCTCCAACCACACACCCCATATCCAGTGTAAACCCGAAGGAACAAGACCAGGAGGCATGCGGATGGGAACCACGTTTCATCTACGGAGCCGGCCCACACTCCTTCACAGGCAACACAAGCGCACTGTATGTGGGAATCAAGTGCACACAAGGCGGCAGCTGGACCGTAGTCCGCTCCACACTGAGTGCATGGAACCACTCTTCGAGCCTAGCACGACCACAAGGACCGTGCACCCGGTCCCCTCCAGCAACGACCAACTGTCTCCTAGAGCCAGATGGACGAGGTAATGGGTAATAGACAGGTAGGCACCTTGTCAACATGCACATCAAACGCAGCCACACCTGGGATGTCAAACAACAGCCAATCACTCAAAATACCGATATCGAATAAAGTAAACGCATATGATGACAATAAATACTCGCTAAATGAGCATATAGAAGAAATTGGTTATAAGTGAATCCGTGATAAGTACAAAATGTCCGAGTTATTTAAAAAAATACCACGCGATACAATTACGCAAGTTTACCACAATTCGCATGAGCGACGTGTGCAAGTTGGGAGAAGATTATCAAGTACGCAGAACAAACCAAATAAAACGTAACGAATTTTATCCACATTAAAAAGACCTAGTTTAAGTGTAAGCGATATATATATATATATATATATATATATATATATATATATATATAACATTGGCGGGAGAGCCTATGGTGCGCTGAGGCTGGTGGTGGCTAGATCCTGACAGATGTTCTACCCACTGCTGCTACTGTTGTGCCATTTGCTGGGCGCCTCCTCGTGGCGACCGCTGGTTGGGAGCTGGGTTTCGCCCTTCTCCCTGCTAAGATCCAGGACACCAATTCGCATGAGTCAGTGAACTGACCATGTGCTAGACCTGCTACCTTTCGGGTGTACATTTAATCGAAGGCTTTGGCTGAGGACCCGAGTCGTTCTCCTGTCAGGAGTGGGCGCCCTGCCAGTATCCTAGTCCATCCTCTTCGGAGGTTAGGAAGTGGTCGATGGCCCACTTCCCGTAAAACCTAGCCATGGGAGACAACAGGTCTACGGGTTATAAGCTCACAGCTCGATTGGCGTAGAGCACGAGCGCCACGCATTGTCTCTGACGGTGGGAGGACACCTCCGGGTGTTCAATGGTTTGCTACTGCCCGCCTCAAGCCAGGCAGCCCCTGGTCAAATTGGTGCAAACCCGCCAAAACCCACCTGCGTCTGGCCGTGATCGCAGGTGCGTATCCTACTACGGTCGCAAAACATACATAAAACGTTCCAGAACCTCAAAGGCTGCGTGTGACGGCCGTCAAGCAGATCCCTATCTGTCTCTGCAATCACATTCCCGAGCTGGATCTGCTCCCCACTGCCTTGTGGGTCAGGCTATTGAGCCAAAGGCTCCGGGCGGAGTCGCTCAAGCAAACCTCCAAACCACCCACTGCCTTGTGGGTCAGGCTATTGAGCCAAAGGCTCCGGGTGGAGTCCCTCAAGCAAACCTCCGAAGCACAACGACCTCCTCGCGTGCGATTGCCCATCAATGCAATCGTATGCCTGTGCGCAAAGCACTCAGCATCGGGTGCTGGAACGTACGCACACTACTGGACCGGAACTCCAGCGAGCGCCCGGAGCGACGCACTGCACTGGTCGCGATGGAACTGGCGCGTTACCACATCGATATTGCGGCGCTCAGTGAAATCCGGCTCGCTGAGCAAGGTAAGTTGCATGAAGCAGGTGCTGGCTACACATTCTACTGGGTGGGCAACGCCGCCTCAGCACCACGTGAACATGGGGTCGGATTTGCAATATCCGATCGCCTCCATGGCCAGCTGGTGGGTGAACCAACGGGCATCAGCGCGCGACTGATGACTGTTCGCCTACGACTCGGAAGAGGTAAGTTTGCTACCTTTATAAGCACGTACGGTCCGACCATGTGTTATCCTGATGACACGCGTGATCAATTCTACACTGAGTTATCCTCCGTGATACGGTCTGTGCCGAGGAGCGACCGACTATTTCTGCTGGGTGATTTCAACGCGCGTGTTGGGCGTGATGCATCGGTGTGGACAGATGTTATAGGTTCGCATGGCATTGGTTCGACGAATGCGAACGGTGACAGGCTGCTCTCACTGTGTGCCACTCACGGCCTGACGATCACGAACACTCGGTTTGCACTGAGTGCGAAGGATATAGCAACTTGGACGCACCCACGGAGTGGTCACGCTCACCTGCTCGACTATGTCATCGTATGTCAGCGTGATATGCGTGAAGTGCGCATGACACGTGTACTGCGTGGAGCTGTGTGGCACTGATCACAAGTTGGTGCGGACCAAACTGTACATATATTTTCGTAAATCTGTGTGTTGCACACCCGACGTGAAGCGGCGTAAATTTAACATTCTCTCCCTCGGTACTGTGGCGAAACGTACTGAGCTGGAGAAGGCGATGGCTGCACGCCTGTGTGAAGTGCAAGGCATAGCCACAGTGGGCGACCTGTGGCACCACATTCGCGACCAGGTGACAGCTGCTGCCGAGGAGACCATCGGGCGCGCAAACTGTAAGCGGCCTGATTGGTTTAATGACAACAATGAGACGATTAGCGCATTGGTGTCGGAGAAGAATGCAGCATTTGCTGCACATGTTGCAGACCCCAGTGACTTGGGAAAGAGTAGTCAGTTTTGCATAATTCGACGGCGACTGACCTGAGAGCTCCGTCGCATTAAAAATGCATGGTGGACGGAGAAGGCGAAGCAGATGGAATGCTACGCCGAACGCCGCCAACACCAGGAATTCTTTGACTCATTGAAGGCGGTGTATGGACCGAGATTGGAGCCGCTGAGGACACTGATCGATGGTAGTTCAGGCGCTGCCTGCACACAGACTGCAGGGATAATGCAGATCTGGCGAAAACACTTTGACGGTCTCTTGAACAACCGTTCAGAGATCGACCGGCCTACATTGAACGGCCTCAAGCAGCAAGATGTGAAGACGAGTCTAGCGGACACGCCGACACTAGATGAGACGCAGAGAGAACTTGCTCAGCTGCGAAACGACAAGTGTGCCGGGGTCGACGGGATCCCGCCTGAAGTATTGAAACAGGGCGCACCCGCGTTGATGACTGCGCTGCACCACTTGGTGCAACGCCTATGGATTGAGGAAGAGGTGCCTGCTGAGCTGAAGGATGCCCTTGTGCTACCACTGTACAAGGGCAAAGGTAGCAAGCAATGTTGCACGAATTATCGTGGTATCAACTTGCTGAGTTGTGTGGGCAAGGTGATTGCCCGAATCCTGCTCAACCGCCTCGTCAGTCAGGTTGTGGAACCTAACGTGGCGGAAGAGCAATGCGGATTCCGTTCGGGTCACTGCATTATGGATATGATGTTTGCGGCTCGTCAGTTGCAAGAGAAGTGCAGAGAACGACACCAGCCATTGTACTCGCTTTTTGTTGATTTCACCAAGGCATTTGATACGGTGAACCGCGAGGCATTGGGGCTGGTGTTGGGTAAGTTTGGTTGCCCCGCGTAAGTTTGTAAGTTTAATTGAATGTCTGCACAGTGGTATGCGGGCGAGGGTGCAGCTGAGTGGAGAGACCTCGGATGACTTTGCAGTTGTCTCTGGTGTGAAGCAAGGCTGTCTTAGCTCCTGCCCTGTTTAATATCAATCTTCATGCAATGTTTTCCTGTGCTTTTGATGCCGCTTGTGCTTACGGTGTTCGTGTGGAGCACAGTATTGATGGTGGATTGTTTAATGTCCGTCGTTTTGGTGCGAGAATTCTAGTCTGTGAGACAACTATCCGTATGTTGCTGTTTGCTGACGA